TATTTTTGCATACCAGCCAACATGTTCTGTCTGTATTAGACCTCTGAGGAAGGCCTGTAAAGGCCGAAACGCGTTAGGTCTATCTTATTAGCCCTTGTAGGTTTTTATATTTGTATATGAGGTATGAATGGGCCCTTGTTTGTTATTTTAATTTATGTTGAATAAATACATGTATATTTTTGTATGTTTCATAATTAGATTTTTAGAGTTGGCCCTCTTCTATTCTTGACTAACCTTTTTAGGTTCTGAATTCTAGGTTTAGGTTCAGTTTTTCCCCCCTTTTTTCTTCTTTGTGTACAGAGTCAGGCATCTAGATCAGAACCAGCTGTGAGACTGGAAACTCTGACCACAACTCTCTTGGGTTTCCAAGCCTACGGGGGATATTGCCTATCTACCATTAACGAGGATTAGCAGTTTCCGGGTTTATCTAAAAATGCGCTGAAGATTAAGGAAGAGTTTTTAGGGATATCAAACCCCACAGACTCCCCTAAATGACGATGTTACTAATGGCGCTACCTACAGTCAGGATTCTTCCTTGGGTCCTCCTCCTTTCTGAGAGGTCTGTGATAAGTTTCCCGCCTCCGAGGGGCGATTATACAGCACCATTAGGGAGAACTTACATCTGTGCTTGTGTTTTGAGCTGTGGCACGAATGGCAGGTTTCGCTTCCACTGGGTTTCCAGGGGCCAAGCTGTTTCCCACAGTGCGTGGCAGGACACTGACGGGGTGACCAGGCAGTGACGTGACTCCACCAGTGACTGCAATGACTGGGTTAGCGGAAGGAAGGATGCTCGGAGCTTGGAGTTGCACCACAGCGGGCTGTGAAAGCACTACTGGCTGACCTGAGAAGGAGACAAAAGAACATCAGCACCATCGATCAGAGACTCGAGGAAGACTGCAGGACTATGTGCAAGATACATTTTCCCCTTTGGCTGCTACAACAAATGAGAAACCAGTGCTTGCCTTATGCTGCAAGTTTATATTTCTACCAACCCTTCCAAACACTTAGCCAGACCACCAGTCACTAAACAGCAGCTTTAGGCTTGTGCTCGACACTCTGGGCCACACCACAAAACTACTTCTGTGCTTCCAAAAGGGTTTGCCACATGGCATCGGTGACTGCAGTTCGAGCATGGAGTATAGCACTGTGTTTCCAGCACGCGCTAACAAGATGCCTTCTGGAGCATGCGGAGGAGTGCTGCTCGCCTCTTCATCAAAGGTACACTGCCTCTGAAGTTCAAAGTTCCATTTAGTTATCAGGACCGATCAACTATTAATAGGGCCAGCCTAACTTAATAACCTTATTCAAAGCCATCAAAGTGCCTAAGCAGATGAAGTACAGAGTGATTTGTGAGCACATCTGCCCAACTAACTGAACTGGACTTACAACGGAGGGGGGGGGATTCAGGTTGGGGCTGAGGGGCAGTGGGGAGAAGGTTTAAACCTCCCCCGGCACTTGGATTACCACCATAATGGAGAATAAGACTGACAAGGGCAGGGTGCCTGTCCCTCCCCTCCCAAACTGGCAGCATAGATTTACTCCCTTCTCAGGCTACAGCTTCGATCCAAATCAGTACCCTGGACAGCTGCCACTTCCTCTTTTTTTTTACATGCTGGAAAGAGTCATCCACAGATCTGCTGGCATTCTGCCTAAGTAGATCCTAAGCTAGAATTCCAAAGCCCACTAAGGCCCACACCATTCTCTGCATCCCAGCCCTGACCCAGGCAGCAGCTACAAAAGCCACACCTGATAAACTCACCAGTGGGGGGGGGAGAAGGAGGTGGAGGAGACTGGCTTTATACCCTGCCCTTCACTCGGAGTCTCAAAGCGGCTTACAATCTCCTTTCCCTTCCCCACAACAGACACCCTGTGAGGTAGGTGGGGTCGAGAGAGCTCTGAGAGAACTGCTCCTGAGAGAACAGCTCTGAGAGAAATTCTGACTGACTCAAGCATCAGAATGTGGAGGAGTGAGGACTTAAACCCGGTTCTCCCAGATTAGAGTCCACGCTCCTAACCACTACACCAAACATTAAATACATATAACGGGCAGGAGGGTTGCAGCCAGGGGTCGTTTCGTAGAAAAAGAGCTAGGGGAACTCATTAGCATAACTCATTAGCATATGCCACACCCCCTGACATCGCCGGAAGTGTGTCATAAGGCCACACACCCTGCCCCCAACGGGCCAGGCCGCTGCCACCGGGCTTGCAGCTCCACTGCAGAGCCCCATGAGGGGCCCGGCGGTGCACCTGCAAGGCCGGCGGGAGTGCAAGGAAGCCCCGCGAAGGCCCTCCCTGGCCCCAGGCAGGCAGGGGTGGGGAGAGGCAGGGAGGAAGCATCTTACCCTCCCTCTTCTCCTGCCTCCTCATGAGGGCCGGAAGCGGGGCGGAAGCGGAAGCAGGGGGCGGGGCTTCGTCATGTGCCCCGCCCCCCGCACCTCACCCGGGGGAACTGCAATCCCCCGCGATCCCACCCGAAATGACCTCTGGTTGCAGCTGACTTCCATACTGAAGTTGCCTACATGGAATGCAAACTTTAATGCAGAATTATGAAAATGCAGACAACCCATTTCGGAGAAGGACTGTAAACAAGCAAACTGAAGCGGATCCCGTTTTGGGAGGACCACGGCTCGGGTGCTGAACGTCTGCTTGGCATGAAGAAGAGCCCAGGTTCCACCTCTGGCCTCTTCAGTTAAAAGGAGCAGGTAGCAGATGATGTGAAAGACCCGTCTGAGAACTGGGACAGCTGCAGCCAGTCTGAGCAGATCAGTGCTCTGATTCAGCAGAAGGCAGCTTCATGTGTTCCCTTCTCCTCCAGCCTCAGAGCTGAGCTTCACCCTACAGGTGTCCCAACTACCCCCACAATTGCTTACATACCTGTGTGTGGCGCCGGCTGAATTGCAACAACAGGCGACTGCTTTGGCAGCGTCAGAAGTGCTGGCAGCGCTGGGAGGACGATGGTTTTCGCCTGGATGCCAAGGCTGTGCCGCGCCTCCCGGAAGGCAGGCAAGAGAATCTTAGGCTGGATTGAAGGTTTGGAGGCTGCTGAACTGCACCGGCTCGGTGTCGCTGAAGATCCATTTGCTGAAAAATAGAACGAAGAAAGACTGCAATTGAACAGCTCTTGCAAAGAGGGTTGCGATTACTGGCTTTTCCTGAACCTAGACATTTATTTGCATGAAATGGTATTGCAACTCAGTGAAGGGGATAGAATTTTCCCCTGAATGATGGTGAGGGACAAGAACAGGAAACTCATCAGATCTAGGGAACCACACAAGCAGAGTTGGCGACCATTCCTCTTCCAAGACTGTGCGTTCCTCTTCACAGATGGTGCCCGCCAGGGCTCTTTTTGTAGAAAAAGCCCAGCAGGAACTTATTAGCATAATAGGCCACACCCAACAGCAGGAACTCATTAGCATATTGGGCCACACCCCTGATAGCACAGCTCATTAGCACATTAGGCCGCACCCCCATGTTACCAGAAGTGTGGTTATCCAGCCACACCCACCTTTTGCTTGTTATTCTGTTTACCTTGTTTGTTGTCAAAACCCAGGGCTTTTTTGTAGCAGGAACTCCTTTGCATGTTAGGCCACACACCCCTAATGTAGCCAATCCTAATGAGATTCTGCTGTTGGGTGTGGCCTATTAGGCTAATGAGTTCCTGCTGGGCGTGGCCAACTTGGGAGCCAGCCGGAACTCCGTTCCTGTGCGTTCCTGCCCCAAAATAGCCGTGGTGCCCGCTACAAAATGCGTACAGATCTGCTATCCTTTTTATTCTTCAAACTACTGCTTTATATTTGTGCGAATTTACACAGATCCAATACATGAGCGATAAAAAAAAATGCTTATGATCAACTGTCTTAGAGATCTTTGATCTGACGATCGCCCTGATATTTAACAATCCCAGAAACAGTCAGATGGGTCATTTCCCGTATGCAGAGGAGCAAAACAAAACAGACTGATCCTACCTGAGCGGTGGATGGTTTTGGATGGGGGCTTCTTCTCCTTCCGTTCTACAGGAGAAGGGGAACTTTGAGAGCCCTTTTCATACAATGAAACAGGAGACAGGTGAGGAGTGGAGGTCAAATCTACACCTTCCTGTGAATGTGAAAAAGACATGGCCAAGATGAGACCCCTTATTGTTAAAGTGAGTAAGCGTTACACAAGAAAGGCTGGTCAGAAGTCCTGACGTGCCCCACGTTCCATCCCATCTACTCTTCCACATTAGAGCAGACCCTCAGACTCACAAAGGATGGAAGGTCTATCCGTCTAGTTAGCAGAATCTTATCTTGTTTTCCGTCCGTGGAGCTCAGGGTGACATACACGGCTCCCCTCTCCCATTTTCACAACCACCCTGTGAAAATGGGAGAGGGGAGCCCTGTATGTCACCCTGAGCTCCACAACAACCCTGTTGTTTTTCATGACAACCCTGTGGAGAGCCAATCTGGTGTACAGCAGGGGTGGCCAAACTTGCTTGATGTAACGGCCACACAGAATAGACATCAGATGTTTGAGAGCCGCGAGGCATGCACAAATATCACACACACATTTTATTGAAAAACATGCAAATTTGCTTTTTATTAACATTAAATTAGACTGTGTGAAAGAACCGCATGTGTCTCCCAAGCTGCAGTTTGGCCACCCCTGGTGTAGAGGTTAAGAGCGACAGGACTCTAATCTGGAGAACTGGGTTCGATTCCACACTCCTCCGCATGAAGCCTGCTGGGTGACCTTGGGCCAGTCGCGGTTCTCTCAGAACTCTCTCAGCCCACCAACGTCTAGTTCACCACCTAGTGGTGCATCACACTAAAATGCTAAGTACTCCTGGCTGCCGGCCAATTCTTGGATCTCCTGGCTATACTACACACACTGCCATACAATAATTATTCATCATTACAACAATCCTGTGAGGTAGATTAGGGTGAGAGGGAATGACTGGGCCAAGGTCACTCAGCAAGATTCATGATCGGGTGAGGACTTGGACCTGGGCCTCCTCCGCGGCAGCCTTGACACTCTAGCCACTACACCAGGCCCCGTCTGGAAATATCATTTCTCAACTACAACTTGGAAAACAGCAGACCGTAACAACAAGCAATGGTGACCAAGGGCAAAACGGAAGGGAACAGAGGTCTAGGGTGCAGTTTATGACTCCAGTTCCAAAAACAGTAAAGACAATAAAGATAGTATGACTGACAGGACAAAATGTCAGTGGGGGGAAAAGCAGGACCCGTAGATATTGTCGACTGGACTGCGTTCGTCTCTTGGCTGGGGAAACTTCTGTTCAGAGCCAAGATCATTTGGTGGCCTTGGGCAGTCGCCCATCATCCATCCTCTCTTCTGCAATCTTAATTTCTTAGTAAGGTAAAGGTTCCCCTTACTCAAAACCCAGTCGAATTCGACTCCAGGGATGCGGTGCTCATCTCCGTTTCCAAGCCAAAGAGCCAGCGCTGTCAAAAGACATTTCCATGGTCATGTGGCCGGCATGACTAGACGCCGAGCTGCACGGAATGCTGTTACCTTCCCACCAAAGCAGTACCTATATATCTACTTGCAATTTCTTGCTTTCGAACTGCTAGGTTCGCAGGAGCTGGGGCTAGAGACGGAGCTCACACTGTCATGCAGCACGCGGGTCTCGAACTGCTGAACTACCGACCTTCCGGTCTGCAGTTCAGCGTCTTAACCACTGAGCCATCACAGGGCTTAGTACATCATCACTTATTCCCTATGTCCCTTCTAAAGCGGCAGAGGTTGGCCTCTAGGTATTTCCCAGAAAAACAATAACGGGAAAAATCCACTAGCTATACAGCAGGAACAAAATGAAATAGTTCACGTAGATCTGAAAAATGGGGCCTAAATTGATGATCATTTTAAATTCCTAACTTTGAGACACACAACCTCGCTGAAGTGTTTAACTCAGGGGGTCCACAATCTCATTAAACCTATAGACATTTTTAGATTTTTTTAGATTTTATTTTGGCAAGCAGGCAGCAGACACCACAACAGAGTGGCTGCCGTGGATGTCAGGTATAATCACAAAAGGTTGCCAGGTTATGCAGAATGGCAGGATCCTCCAAGCTCAGCATCCTCCTATGATGGAGGAAGCCATTTCTGAATGGGGGCTTTCTGCAGACATGTGTGCTGTTCCAAAGCACCTTCTGCTTCAGTGAAGCAGAGGACAGCCAGGACTTGCTTGTTGCTTTGGGAAAAGGATGAGTTGGAGAAGAGGAGTCGGTTTAATGCCCTGCTTTTCTCAACCCTAAGGAGTCTCAATATGGCTTACAATTGCCTTCCCCTCCTCTCCCCACAACAGGCACCCTGGGAGAGTTCTCAGAGAATTGTGACTGGCCCAAGGTCACCCAGCAGGCTTCAGGTGGAGGAGTGGGGAATCAAATCCAGTTCTCCAGATTACAGTCCACCACTCTTTACCACTACACCATGCTGGAGAAAAAGCAAGTGAGCACCAGCAAATATGTTAGCATAACATAACATCCAGCCCTGCTGGATCAGACTAGTGGTCCATCTAGTCCAGCATCCTGTCTCACACAGTGGCCAACTAATTCCTCTGGGCAGCTGAGACCTTCCCTGATGTTGCCTCTTGGCTCTGGGATTCAGAGGATTAGTGCCTCTGAATGTGAAGGTTCCCCTCAGTTACCACAGCTAGTAGCCACTGACAAGACTTATCCTCCATAAGTCTGTCTAATCCCTTTTTAAAGTTGTTTATTCATGTGGCCATCACTACATCCTTTAGCAGTGAATTCCACCTTTCAATCACTTTAAGAAGTATTTCCTTTCATCCGTCCTCAACTTACTGCCCATCAGCTTCATTGGATGCCCTCAAGTTGCAGTATTTTGAGAGAGGCAAAAAAAGGTCTCTTTGTCAACTCTCTCCACCCCATGAATAATTCTATAACCCTATATCATGTGTCCCCCCCCCTTAGCTGTCTCTTTTCTAAACTGAAAAGTCCCAGACTCCTCAGCAGGAAAGGTGTTCCAACCCCCTTAGCAGGCCTCACACTCAGGTTCACTGGACTGACTGCTTACCGGCACATGCTGTCCTGGAGAATCCACAGATGAAGGAGAAGGAACGGAACATGTCGAAGGGGCTGGCGAGAGTGGCTCCACCTTCCAGTCCACATCTGCAAGAGAAGGCAACATGGAAAACCCGTCAGACTCAAGGGACCTCTTTGAAAGGACTTCACCACAAACACTCTTCCGCATGGAAGCAATGGGCTAACTACCCACTTTGGATGAAGGTTTAGCTTCAGTAATGCTGTGATTTGTCTGACACAACAGCACATACACTACCTGTATGTTTAAATAAATATTTTTATCCAACCCTTCCACTGAAGGGTGGGTCACATTAACTTAGCATACAACCCTTTCACTTTCCCTTAGGTCAGTAAAGTGGGGGGAAAGCCCTGAGGTACAACAGCCCCCCTGACATAATGGAAAGCATCGTGCTTGCCCCTTCCCCTTTAATTTATAGAAGCGTCTGACTGGATTCTAGGCCTTGGATAGACACCCTTGGATTATACAGGGTTCTGGAGCATCCACTGTGCAGTTGATCCAGCAAAACAGGCTGGACAAGCAATGCCTGGGGAAAGCCCTTCACCGACCTTGCCTAACTTGCTCCACTAGCACTCCGGCTCCCAAATCTACAGTCATTTCCAAGCAGAGTCCTAATTTGAGAAAGAGAGAAGAGCAGAACCAGCTGCCTTAAACCCTCCACAGCACTGGCACTCTCCAGAAGCTCTCTGCCAAAGGACGGCAAGCAGGCGCACAGTCACCAAGTGTGGTACCAGCGGCCAGGACACTGCTGTGCCCAGAGAGAATCCAGCTGTGATGAGCTCAATGCTTTGTTAGTCAGCAGCAGGTTGGAAGCTCCCAGGTTTTGTTTTTTCCATTGAAGGCCCTTTGGATTTTAGCCCCAAGACTCCAAAAAAGAACTCGCTTCCAGGAAACACATCGATGGGCACGATGGTGGGAACTGCGGATAGAGCTGAACAACTCTAATGCGGCTCCTTGTACAAAAGGGACCTTACTATTACTGTGGCACACACTGAAGCTGTACCAGCAAGGGATTACAGCACAGAGGACTGTCTAGTCCAGGTCTCATGATGGCAAATCAAGCAATTCACCCTGAGCACCAGCACGGCGCAGCGGCTTGAGCAGCAGACTGGGATGAAGGGGACCCGAGTGCAAATTTCTACTTGGCCATGAAGCTCACTGGTTGACCTGGGCCAGTCACTATCATTCAAACTAACTTATTTATTTTATTTTATTTCTTTAATTTATATCCCATGGTTAAGACACTGAACTGCCAACCGAAAGGTCGGTAGTTCAGCATTTCAAGACCCGAGTGCCGCATGACGGAATGAGCTCCCGTCTCTGGTTCCAGCTCCTGCCAGCCTAGCAGTTCAAAAGCGAGAAATAAATAGGTACCACTTGGGTGGGAAGGTAGCAGCATTCCGTGCAGCTCAGCGTCTAGTCATGCCGGCCACATGACCATGAAAACGTCTTCGGACAGCGCTGGCTCTTCGGCTTGGAAACGGAGATGAGCACCGCATCCCTAGAGTCGAATTCGACTGGCTTTTGAGCAAGAAAAACCTTTACCTTTACCTACCCCGCACATGGACTAAGGGCGGCTTGCAACATATAAAAAACCCAAAAAGCTTACCCTGTAGAGTGGCTGTGGAGGACACACACCAACTCTGCCTCCCAAAGCTCCTTGGAGAAAGCAGGACCGGAGTGAAACAAATGTAAAAATAAATTAAAAATCACCTGTGGGGATCTGCTTTGTATTATCCCAGGGTTCCAAGTTCCAAGGCATCAGATCCAAGTCAAAGTCGAGGTCACACAGATTGTTATCCTAAAAGTGAGATGAAACCAATGAGAACAAGATACAGGGAACTTTGTTGACCTCAAGTTTCAAACTGAAGACAGTTTGCTTCAGATGGATTTGTTTTCCCAAACACAGGAACAGTAGCTCTGTGTGAAGTTAAACTGTGTGAAGTTAAAACAGGGCCCAAACCTTGGTCTGAAGTGTCCAGGTACTGATGGGATATCTTGATTTTATTGTCCCTTCATTTGTAATTCCTTCATATGGTAGATCTCAAGCCTAGATTCCTAGAACCTTCACAAGAGCCGCTGTGCAGTGGGTGGTATCCCACCTAAAAGTTCAGTAGGCACAACAGGATGATGCTTTTCACCGATTCCCCCCCCCCAAGCTATTCCTGGGGATCCCCCATGCATCAAGAGCAGCATTCTGAAGGGCATTTTGGGCTGCCCCCCTTGTTGCCCCTGCAGAAATTCTAGATGAGACCCAAACCATTAAGTATGGCCCATGAGGATTTGTTGCCATACCATTTCAGGGGTAACTCAGCAGTTAAGACTGCTATATCTACAGATGATCTCTTGAACCTCAACCTGAAAACTGACGGTGCAGTCCTATATAGATTTACTTCCGTCTAAACCACTGCTTTCCTAGGAGTTTGCAGAGGACTGCATGGAAGTGAAGCAAGTTTTTTCACATTCAAAACAGAGCATCTGGTGACATGTCCACTTCTGGCTGATGAGCAATGCTTTTTCTTGATTCTGATTTGATACTGCAGTTTTGTGCATTCACCTGTGTGTCTCTAAGTCCTGCCAAATGCCTTGAGTGGATTACCAACAATGGGATAATAGTCGTGAAAATAAATGAATTCAATAAAAATCGAACACTGTGCGGGATCTATAAGGTCCCTCCAGGAACAGATTCACACAAATATGCTTTGCTCAACAGCCCAGTTGTTTGAGATCTCCATTATGTACTGGCTAGAACAGGTATTTTCATACCATGCCAGCAAATTTAAGGGGTGGGTCGAAAGCTCCCACATCAATGCTTCTGCTAACGGAGCATGTAAAAACTACCACAAATGAGTGCTCAAGAGCACCTCTTCTACAATTTACAGAAGTAACTTTTATCGCTTGAGATTCAGCTTTAACTACTGAATATATCGCAAACAATTGGCAGCCTTGGCGTAGTTAATATTCCATTTGTCTCCAAACACCAGTTATGGGATCTTTTCGTTCAAGCTCCCACTATCAAAGTCACAGCTATAATTATTAATGTCAACATATCCATTGTGTCAGAGCAGGCGTATCTGACAGATCACTTAAACTGCAGGTCATGCCCACCCCACAAGCAGAATGAAAAACCCAATACAGGTAAAGCTCAATAATGGACAGGTGCATATGGTTTACATTAAGGCTGGGGAAATGATAAGGCTTATAGGTGCAAAGACATTTGATGCAGGGAGCCACATAGCAAATATATTTCCAGCCATCACTGTAACCATTTCTGTGCAATATAGGTGAGCCTAATGCAAGGAGCATGAATAGGGATGCCGGCAACGAAAAGCAGACTAAGAGTAACTCTAAAGTTGCGTAAACGAATTGACAGGTTGCAGCTCTGCGGAGCCCTGACCTGGATTGGTCCAGGCTAGCCCATTCTTGCCAAAATTTGCAAACTTAGAAGCCCTGGTTAGTCATTGGATGGGAGACCCCCGAGGAAATCCAGAGTCCCTATGCAGAGGTGGGCAATGACAAACCACCTCTCTTTTTCTCTTAACTTGAAAACCCGACAGGGTTGCCATAAATCAGCTGTGACTTGATGGCGCTTTCCACCAATATTTATTTTATTGTATTTATTATTTAAATGTATATACCACCCTTCTCCGGATTCACAGAGATCAGGGCAGTTAACAACAGAAGTGTACAATTTAAAACCCAGGAGTTAAAATAGCTAAAATATCATCAGGTGGCGTCAAAGCAATCATACCATATGCATGACTGTCTCACAATAAGCAGGAAAAGCAGGGTGGGGAAGGGAGTTTCAGGTAGGTGGTGGCAGCCATTGCTGTCCTCAGCTAAAAGCCTCGCGGAACATCTCTGCTTTACATGCCCTGCAGAACTGCATAAGGTCCCGCAGGGCGCGGATGTTGTTTGGCAGAGAGTTCCATCAGGTAGGAGCCAGGGCTGAAAAAGCCCTGGCTCTGGTCGAGGACAGCCGGATATCTTTAGGGCCAGGGATCATCAGTAAGTTGTTCTGCATTTCAGCATTTCAGGGGACATACCAGAGGAGTCGGTCCTGCAGACATGGATCCCAGACCGTTCATGGCCTTAAAGGTCAGTACCAAAACCTTGAACCTGACCTGATACTCCACTGGGGGCCAGTGCAGCTGGCGCAGCACGGGCTGAATATTTGCAGTCCATGATGTTCCTGTCAGGACCCGTGCTGCCACACTCTGGACTCGTTGGAGTTTCTGGATCAGTCTCAAGGGCAGGCCAGCGTAAAATGAGTTACAATAATCCAGTCTGGATGTGACTGTTGCATGGATTACTGTGGCTAGGTCAGGGCAAGACAGGAAAGGGGCCAGTTGCCTTGCTGGAAAAATGCAAGCTTGGCAACGTTCGTGATCTGGGCCTCCACAGACAAGGAGGTATCCAAGACCATGCCCAAAGCAAAGTGTTAGAAGTAGCAAACCTCCCACTTATGGCCTTGAATCTGCAGCCCTTCTTAACACAATTGGCAACAACCCAAGCTTACTCCAGAATGCAGACAAAAGATTGCATATCAGCCCGGGCAAGATCAAGGTGCCAGATAAAGTAGAACAGCTGTATCCTGCAAACTCCCTAAGAACATCTCTTTTGGGGGAACAAACGAACATTTCTTCTACATTGGAGAAACTGAAGAACTCACTGCAGCTCCTTCGTACTTCAGCCGAGCCTCTTAATTTATTTCTCCCTGTGAGATGACCGCCCAGCTATAAGCCAAAGACTCGAGTCTATAGTGCTGATTTGACTTCCCCTGTTCTCAACATTGATAATGGTTCATGGATCTCTCATGACCTTGATAAGTCAATACCCATCTCTACTTGGTGCTTGTCAAAGGTGCTAACTCAAATTTTACTGCCTATAAAGTTGATGCATCAAAGAGGGAAGCAACGGTTGGCAGCAGAATATCTCAAGTAAAGAGCCTCCTATTATACAAAGCAAAGACCAAAGCATCTCTATGGAAGTCCCAGAGGAACAGCTGAGTCCTGAAAGCTCCAGCACAGTGGAGTGTGACAGCAAATCGGAGGGTGGGACAAAAGCACAGAGCAAGAAGCTCAGGGAGATGTTGGAGAGGTTTTCTGCAATATATCAGGAAGAACTCGACAAGATGCACTGGATCTATCATGGTCCATCTGAAGAAACGTGTAACAAATTGAAATCTAAGGCGGGTTCCGTGAACTTATAATGATTAAGTAAAAGCAGAAATGGGCCAGGGGTTATAAAAATACAGAAGACTAGAAGTATATAGTAGCAGCTTGGCTTAATGGAATTATCTAGGCTCTATACCTAGATTTCTGGTTCTTAAGAAATACATACCTGTTCCTGTAGGGAAAAAAGTGAGAAACTGGGGGCGGGGGTAGCCATGCATGCAGTTAGGCAATAGATTTGTCATGTTATTTCCAAAATAGGAGATGAAGAACTGTTCTCATTTGCTCTCTCCCCCTTCACTGAGTGTTACTAATTCTACATTGTCATTGCTATCTTACAAAATAATTCTGAAATGCTGTGTCCTTTATTTCTTTTACCCTAGTATGTATGTGAATTTTAAACTTTTAAAATAAAAATACATTTTTTTTAAAGAATAAAGAAGCAAAGTGTGTGAATACAACACAGAACTCCCTTCAAGGTTTTTTTTGTTTGCTGATTTAATACATTGTTTCTCAGGCAACAATCCTAGCCGCTATCAGTACTTACATAAGTGTCATTCTCGACATCTAGCTGAAGCTCATCCTCTCCTATCAGGTCGCTGAGTTCACTGAACAGAAGAGACTCTAGGAATCAAAACAGAGGAGAAGGACATAAGCCATACTAGTCAAACCCCACCTGGTTATGAATATTCACAATATTCACAATTTCCTCATTACCCAGAAGTGAAGTTTCATCCGTTCCTTACCCTGCACAGTTCATCAGAAGGCCAGCAAAACAAAGCCACCCTATAAGCAAGGTAGGGGATCTTGCATGCTTTCAAGCAGAAAAAAGGGGCGGGGGAAGACTACTCTTAAAAAAAAAAATTAAAAGCCCTCCATAATATGACCCAATAAAGACTGAGCAGGCTGAGGTCAGTTGAGCAATCAGTTACAGAAAAGAAAAACAAAAAGGATAGATTAAGAAACTGACCTGCACAAGCCCCCAAGAGCTGTTAGAGTCAACAACTGTATTTAGATTTAAGTGTACACCAGAAAAGCAATACGAAAATAATTGAAATACATAAATATCCCAAAGGAAGCGGTTTGCACTGGGAAGAAATGCTCCAACCATTTTAGCCTTTCAGCAATGCCTCACAGACCCCAATCTTGGGTCTTTTAGCATCCCCAAGAGACCAGAAGTTGGTTAAATGCTATATCATAGCCAGTTACACCTCAGAACCAATATGTTACAATCATAAGGCATTTCCAAAAACCACAACATAAATCAGCCACTCACCTTCCACATCTCTAGCAGTTCTTGTGCCCTAATTTTAGTCAAATGTGGACTGAATGAAATACTATCAGCACTGAATTATATAGAAAACTTTCCTTTAGATTCATATAGATTGTTAGTTTTGGCATACAAGGCCACAGCCAAGTTCTAATTTTACTTGGGATAATAGCACCTCGGTTCTTTTACCTCTTACTCTCACAGGATGTACGACTTTTGGTCATAATTCCTTGATCAGCTCATACAACTTAGAGACCTGTTGAATTTTTATGAGAGATTAAAGTCTCTGTCCACATTCCATTCTAACACATCAGCCTGCAGTTGAAAAAGAAGACAACAACTGGCGCGTAGACTCTAAACTAGTCACAGCCATTCAGGATTGAGCCACAGTGGATGCTGTGCAGAGTTACTATGAAGCAGATCACGCAGGACTGCAATCCGAAGGTACCTAACCAAGTGCTCAAGAACAATAATAAGGATCTAAGTGCCTCAGAGTTCTCAAAGTGTCCTATCTCCTATCAGTAATCTTTACAACAACTCTGTAAGGAAGGCCGGGGTTGTTGTTGTATAAGTGAAACTATACACACTTAACATTACTGGGAATTTTTAAATGAAAATGCATCAAGTTTCCACAGCCAGTTGTTGTGAGTCCTTTATTAGGAAGTGACACACATGAGGTCTCACAATAAGTAATAAATATAAAAGTAGCACCCTGCCCAAGTATATTAGTGTGCTGAAATGAATTTCTGCATGGTTTGCACATGTTCACCTCTATCATTTCCCTTTCTGTGTAGCATCTCGAAGAAGCCCTTTAGACCCATCAAACTCTTTGCCTGACATTCCATTCTCATACTGGTTCATCTAGCATCCCATCTGCCCCTCCAATCTATCTTAATTTAAAGATTTTGTTTTCTTTTTTAAAAGATCCATATTCAGCCTGTACTGAGCTGCAGTTAGACTGCTACACTGCTTCTAAGGAATAATTTAAACTGCAGCCCTAAGCATACTGACCTGGAAGTAAATGCAACAGTAATCACTGTGACTATTTTCAGACCATTTACTATATAATAACTGCATGTCTGTTAGTGTCTGACTAGGATGTGGGAGACCTGAGTCCAAAACCTCATTCTGTCTCCAAGCTCAGTGGGTGACTCTGGGTGGCATATGTGGTTCTTTCACCCTTGTTTTAAACTCACAATGACCCTGTGAGACAGGGTTGACTGAGGCTGCGATCACACACACTAAATAATCCACTGTCAATCCACTTTCAATCCACTGTCCAACTGGATTTTCCCACCTCACACAGTAAAATCCAGTTGGAAAATGCATTGAAAGTAAATTATTTAGTGTGTGTGATCGCAGCCAAAAAGAGAGTAACGGCTCCATTCAGTCAGCCCTGTCTCACAGGGTCATTGCGAGTTTAAAATGAGGGAGAAAGCAGGGCCAACGCTGGCAAGTATTTGGATGGGAGACCTCCAAAGACTACCAGGGTCGGGAGGCAAAGGCAGGCTATCAAGCCACTTCTCTCAACGTCTTCCATGCCCCAGTAGGAGTCACCAGAGATTACCAAGACTTCTAGGCACGGACACACACACACACAGAGAGAGAGAGAGAGAGAAATGCAAAAATACCAAAAGGGGAGTTGGGAGAACCACATATGCCACCCTGATCTTCTTGGGGGAAAGGTAGGATAAAAATATTCCAGATAGAAACACAGACAGATTAATGATCTTCATGAATATGAGCTGATCCCTGCTGGGTCCAACTAAGGGTTCACCTAGAAAGTTATAGTAACCAGCCAGACACCTTTCAGAAGTTTACAAGAAGCACACAAAGACAAAAGCCCTCTGCAGTTGCTATTCTCCACTCCCACTCCAAGCACCTAGTCCTCAAAGGCAGACTGTCTCATAACACAGGGGTTCCACTTAACCATGGTGGTTAATAACAGTGATAAATTCACAGAGAACAGATCTATCTAATCCATCTCAGTTCCATCATCATGTTTCCAAAAGCAATTGCTGACGAAGTTCAGAAGAAGAGTATGATGTAACAGCCATGTACTCTTGCTTGCCTTTAGTATACTTCCTTTAATTCCAGCTGGGCCAAGAAGCTGGTCTTGGGTCAATTGTTCTCTCTTAACCTAATCTACTTCACCAGGCTAAGGAAAGGAAAAGGAGAACCACGTATCTCTGCTAAGTTCCTTGGAGAAAGGACAACAGCGCCATTAGATAGATAATTATAACATGTTGCTACTTTTCTGCTTTATTATATTGTGTTTATTATACTGTGTTTTGGGAGAGAAGGTGTTTTATAATAATTCGCATCTTCACAGTGGTAAATAAGGTATTTATTGTATTTTTACAACAATATTAGCCACCTCAGACACAACAAAGGCAACTACTGTAAAACAAAACAATAAACAATATCATATGTAAATAAATAAATATTATAGAAAACTGAAATAGAAATCTTTTCAAGAGATAGATAATAGGAAAGGCTTCATTTTGACTTATTATGGCTAAACAGTGAAGCACAATGTAGTTGTTAGAGTGTTAAACTAGGATCTGGGAGATCCAGGATGAAATGCCCATTGTGGCATGGAAACTCTCTGGGTGACTATCACTCTCCCTTGGCCTAAGCCACCTCACAGGGCAGTTGTAAGGACAACATGAAAGAGGGCAGTACAGAGTTGTGGGTGTCTATTGGGGACAAAAATGAGGTAGATATGCAAATCCACCGCTGGACTGAACTTCTGTAAAAATTCATCACACTCTTTAAAACTTTCTAACTCAGCAGTCGTTGCCAGTTAAATAACTGTACAACGATCAGTTCTGAGAGCGCCACTGTCAGAAACGATGGACATTATTCTAACACCCTCTTCTACAACGTCCTTTCAGGCTAGAGCCCTTAAACCACAATTACTTTTTTTTTTAAGGCTCACAACATTTTATCCCAGCTTTCTTTTTTTAAAGTACTACAAAGACTCCTATTACCAGCTAAATAAATGAAACAGACAAGACTAACAAGGCGGCCACCGTTCTTTAATGATTAGCCTGAAATCGGAGAGCAGCGCAGGGCCAGGCAACTTAGCCCAAGTCGCCATTCAGTTTCCACGCTCCTTGAGGCGACCTTGGGCACCACCCCCTATAGATGGGGGGTGGTGCCTTGGGTCAGCCCCCCTCTCTCACACCCCACCTGACCTACCTCATAGGGCTGCTGTGAAGATAAAGAGGGCGACCAGAGAGGGAGGAAGCGCCCGCCCGGCTGAAAAGGACCGAAAAGCGGGGATAACATAAAAGCGGAATTAGCGAAATCATCACGGACCCGTTTTGACGCGACGGCCTCCTCCTTACGGACAAGAACACCTGGGCCCCGATCCCCCACACTCACCCCACTCAGAGCCGGGCCCTCCCGGGCCATGCCCGACCACGGCCGCTGTCATCGCTGCAGACATCGACTCTCTCCACCGCTTCCTTTCCGGGATTGCCCAAAACACACGTGTACTTCCTGACAAGGTCCCGCCCCCGACGACAGAGGCCGGAATGGGCCAGAAAGCTCGCGTTGCACTCTCGCGCCGTCCTGGTGAGGAAAGCTCGCCTTGCTTTCTCCCAACGAGGAAAATAAAGGGACCTAACAACGGGCAGTGATCGTCCTGCAAGCAGAAAATGAGCATTTCTTCTATTATAAACTGAACACATTGTAAATTATGTGGAATTATAAATAACTTAGAACGCAACCGTGAAGGGGTGTGTGTGTGTTGAATCACTTGACTTCCCTTCAGTAATACAAAGCTACCGTATTTGTTTTATTTTATTATTTACATTCTTTATAGTCCCCGTTTTTCGCTTGGCTTTCAGAGGTCTTTCAGCTCTGGTTCTGAAACGTTTATGCTGGAATAAATAGTGGTCTTTTTTTTCTGATTTCGAACACATAATGCACGGTAGCAATTGGCGACTATTTTCCTGTTACACACAGAGGTTTTGGTGTGTGTTTTTTAACAGCTTCCGGCTGAGCGCTTGAGCAATCCTGTGCTTTAAAAATTCAATATTTAAAACGTTCACGCACTCATCAAGCGTGGAGAAAGCTCCTGCCCGCCCCAGGAGTGAAGGTGCGGCGGGCAGCAGGAGGCAGAATGGAAAGGGGGGGGGGGGTAGTCGGGGAAGGAAGTGCCAGGCGGGCTTGCAGGCGAGCGGCCGGTGGAGTGCGCCCCAGGACCAGAAGCTGCAGCGTTAGGAAGGGAGGGAGGACCCAGCTTGCCAGCAGCGTGGGGCTGGTCGGGCAGCAGGAGGTGGTGGGGAAAGTTGTTGGAGGCGGGCAGGGTAGGGTTGCCAAGTCTGGGTTGGAAAATACCTGGAGACTTTGGGGGTGGAGCCAGGAGAGGGCGTGGTTTGGGGAGGAGAGGGGCCTCAACATAATACAATGCCATAGATTCCACCCTTCAAAGCATCCATTTTCTCCAGGGGAGCTAACCTCTGTCGGCTGGGGATCAGTTGTAAAAGCGGGAGATCCCCAGGCCCCACCTGGAGGCTGGCAACCCTAGGGCAGGGGGAAGGAAGTGCCGGAGGGGCTGGCAGGCGAGCCGCGGAGAGAGAGGGGCCGGCGGCTGCATCTAGACGGTGTCCAGAGCCTCCTCGCAGAATGCTTCCGGTTCGGGGAGGGATATGTGGTCATCCCAACCTGAAGAGAAATGTTCCCGATTAAATTATACCGGGAATAAATCGCAGTTTCCTTGCCGTGTGACCACGGGCTCAGAAAAGTCAAAATCGACCTTGATAGCCGAAGGCTTTCACTCTGTATAAGGCAGCTTCACGTTCTCAGTTGACCCTGGTAGAGAGCTACCCAGAGAGCCATGTGGGAGGGGGCTTCCCACTTCTCCCATCAGGTGACCCTGAGCCAGCTGAATGAATGAATGAATTTGACATATTCAGTCCAAACAGCAGGGGGTTTCTCTCTTGCCTGAAATGCAGCCCCAACACCAGGCTCAGTGGCCTCAAAATGGTGCTGCTGCCAGTTGGCTAGAATGATTCCATATTTGGGCACTTCCACAAAGATTTTGGGGACAACTTTGGGTGGGGGAGCTTCCACATGACATCAGGTTCATAATTTAGGGTTGGCAGCTCTGAGTTGGGAAATACCTGGAAATACATATTCTGAGAGGCTTCTGCATGCAAAAGGGTCCAGCTATGTTTATGGAATCCAAGGACTTTTTAAAAAAGTGGGCATCAATTCTTAGTAAATGCTCAACTGACTTAATGCTATTACTTATTGAAAAGTCTCAGGGGGAGGTGATTAAGTTAATAGTGGAGATAGAGAAAGTGGAAACATCTGGCAAGTAATCCATCTCTAGTGTTTTTGACACCAAAATAACTGAATTGCTATTAAGGAATTTGAGTCCAAAATAAAAGAAATGAAAATTAAGAAATTTAAAAGAGATACCAAAGATTATGAAACATCTAGAGCACGGGTGTCAAACATTCGGCCTGGGAGCCGGATGAGGCCCCCGGAGGGCTTCTATCAGGCCCGCAGTGGAATTGGCTGTCTTCTGCTTCTTCTTCCAGTTCTGCTGCTGCTGCTGCATCATTGTAGGTTTGCAGCTTACAGATACACACCTGAACAGCATACTCAAGATTGCAACAGCACAGACATTTTGAGCAAGAGGTATCAGTTATCAGACACTGTTAAATAAACAAAATATTGCAAGAGTTCTAATGTTTTAAGCATGTTTTTATTTTAAGTTAAAAAAAACCTTTGTGCTTGTGTCCTTTATAAAGTTTATGTCTCCGCTACCTGGCATTACATTTTATGACACACATGGCCCGGCCCAACAAAGTCTCATTTATGTCAAATCCAGCCCTCATAACAAATAAATTCAACACCCCTGATCTAGAGTTTATAAATGGTGTTCGCCAGTGTCCCTTGGCAAAAATGAGTATCATGGTCAGTTATGAGTTCTAACTCAGAGATAGATTCTGCAGGTGACAAGTCAACAACTACTTCAGGGGAGGATTTTGGAGAAAGCAGGTCTGTTTTAGAAAGATGAACTAAAAAGAGAGCTCGAGAGATGATCTCCCAATATCAACCCCAACTAAACAAACGTCAGGCCTCGTAGTCAATCTTTCATCCCAGGACCTGTCACCTATAGAAAGGAAAGTGTTGAATTTGGGCTTAGGATTCATTCCTACGGCTAATTAAGATGCATTTTAGACTCATATAGATTTCTATCATTTAATGAGACAGTTAAAACTGAGAATGTTGTTTGGTGAATCCGATAACAAAAAAGTAAATAAATGCCACTCCAAGTCATCTTTTGTTCCTGATATCAATGAGCCCAATCTACAGGTATTTGAAAAAAAACAGTGCTAAAAGACATAGCCCAGGCAGAGCAGTCTATGGGTTTTGTAAAACACAATATCTCTAGAGAAGAACATAGAGCGCTCAGTGAATTAGCTAAAGATAAAACAGTGGTTATAAAAGAGGCAGATAAAGGGGGAGCCATTGTCTTACTGAATGCTAGCGATTACCATATTATGGTAAGAAAGTTATTCGATTATCCTTCCCATTGTACCAGGATTACAAATGACCCAACAGCCCATATAATGAGGGTCATTAAAATCACTGTGAATGAAGCCTATGTGTTGGGCCATAAGGAGGAGGAAGAAAGAGGAGGAGGAGGAGGAGGAGGAGGAGAATTGGATTTATACACCGCCCTTCTCTCAGAGTTTCAGAGAGGTTTACAATCATCTTCCCTTCCCACCCTGTGAGGTAGGTGGGGCTGAGAGAGCTCGGAGAGAACTGTGACTGACTCAAGGTCACTCAGCTGGCTTCTTTTGGAGAAGTGGGGAATCAAACCCAGTTCCCCTGGAGAAAATTGCCACTTTGGAAGGTGGACTCTATGGCATTATACCCCATTGAAGTCCCTCCCCTCCCCAAACCCTTCCCTCAACAGGCTCTACCCCCAAAATCTCCAGGTATTTCCCAACTCAGGCTGGCAACCCAAGTAGGCAACCTTTTGCAGCCAACTGATGAAAACAACGCAACATCTACTCCCGAAGATGTCAGTGTGCTGGCAAACAAAAGGACAAGAAAGGATTGTACTTCTCCAGACAATGGGAACAAAATTCAAACGCCAGCAGCACTGCCAGTGCCTGAGAGACTTGCCTCCACTGCTTAACTAGAGAACCAGCTTTCCTTGCTGAGAGCAAAGTGATCTGGCCTGCCAGGGTCCAGCAAACATGCCTCCTCCATGGTAGACAGAGGCTGTCTGAATCACCAATTGTGGTGGATCAGGAATTAATCGAATGAATCTACTTGAGAGCAGGAAAGCCGCAAAGCACTATTTTTTAAAAAACCACAAATTGTCTTTATTTGTGAATTACTGCACAATTTTCTAGGAAACGCAAATAAGGCCATTTTGGCACAGTGATGAAAGGACTAGTGCATTATGGAATCATTTCTTAATTTAGTCAAGTTAATATGTTGTCAAGTTAATATGTTGTCAAGTTTTTTCACGGCCGGAGTTCATTAGTTGCTGTAGATTTTCTGGGTTGTGTGGCTGTGGTCTTGGCATTGTAGAACCTGACGTTTCACCAGTAGCTGTGACTGGCATCCTCAGAGGTGTAACACAGAAAGATGGAGTACTCTCTGTGTCAAGGTGAGAAGAAAAATGGTAGGCAGGTAGGTGGGGTAGGGCTGAGTCATTATCTTGTAGGATCCATATACAAAAGAACCTCCTCAGGAAAGCTCCTCCATTAGCATGTTCATAGCCGGGGGAACTTCTACACAGAGAGTATTCCATCTTTCTGTGTTATACCTCTGAGGATGCGGATGCCAGTCACAGCTACTGGCGAAACATCAGGTTCTACAATGCCAAGATCATGGCCACACAACCCAGAAAATCTACAGCAACTAATTAGTCAATTTAGTCAACAACTGTTAGTCAACCTGTGAAAACCAACTTTTAAGCTTTGTTTTGGTACCATAAAGGAGAGTTGAACTGTGAAGCAAATGCATGGCTTCACCCCAACACTGAAAATATACATATCCTTGACAATTTGCTCTGCTTACATGATGAAGAATCCAGTTCATCAACAAAGAGCAAGACATAACCAGAGCTGTGTATGGTTTTATAATCCCATGTAAATTCAAGATGTAGCAGGATCCAGTTTACTAAGAATCGTTATCTTTCACTTTTTCCAAAAATAAGTCTCTAGTCCCGATTGGTTACAATCTGCTTGAAAGCAGTGTGAGCAAATCGTGGTGTAATCACAGAAGCCAAAGCGATGGCTGAATAAGATATCCACTGGTCGGAGGTGCCCAGGTATAACCTTTAAATAAAACATATCTGATGTTCTTTTTAGTTTATTCTTATAATGACATTTTCTTGGATCAGGATTAACTTTCCCTAATCTCTAAAGAGCAAGGTGTAATAAATGGTGGGTAAAAAAACCTGGTGTGTCTGTCATGAGGCAATTTGGGCATCTCTTGACTGTGCAGGAACAGAGATTTCCAAGATTTTAAACTCAAGATCTGATTTTTTTAAAGCAGTTTTTAGCGGACAGGAGTTTGAGTGAAGCAAGAAGAATTGTTACTTCCAGCAGAGCACAGTTCACCATAGGTGCTGATATGGTTTTGTAGGAACAACATCTCCCCCAGACCTTTAGGTGGTTAAGTTTCTTAACTTTGTAAGTTGTTTAGAGTCTGACAGCAGAAGGAAAATGCAGTCATCAGAGTGTGTAACAATAAATGATGCAACATCCTTGAAATGCTACAGCTGGAAGGAGAACAGAAGTTCAGCGCAGCAAGATCCGAGGTAGAGGCAGGTGTTTCAGCCTGAATTTTTTCCAGCTCTACATTAACTCAAGAGGCACCACTAAATTGGAAAATTCCATCCTCTCTGTGGTCTTCTCCCAGGGTCATCCACCAGAGGAGCTCTGTGTGGGTCCATCCCAAAAGGAAAAACAAGGTCAGTTTGGTCATTTGGGAGAAGATTTCGCTGTATTCTTAACTCTAAAGACAGGGCCCTCACTTAAAAGCACTTCACATTGTAAGAGACATGGTACTTGGAATGTAGTACACAACAGGAAAGCGTGAAATGTTCTGACTTGGGAATGACACTTTAAAAGAAGCAATGTTTGTTTTAGATCAACAAATATTTCCATACAGATTCTCTTGCCAAAGGTTATTCACAGGTTTACAACCACTAGCAGGAAATGGTTTGATTGTTTTCCTGTTAGTTGATTCTCCCCTACCACTCCAGTCCTGGATGTCTCTCTGTTAAAAATGCTGAGATGCACAGAAATGATGAAAGAGTTGGACTAAATTTTCCAGTGGCATAATGGCATCTTCCTGCCTTCCTCCCCCAGGCCACTGATCCCCACAAAATACTAGTCCTGGGGGATAGGGGACCCTGAGGAATGACCAGGGGATGGGAAGAATGGGAACTGGTGGAAATTGTCGGTTTAGTCTAGATCCATCCCTAACTCTGTATCTAAAAACTTATACACTGATGAAGGAACATAGTTCGAGGAGCATCAGGGGCAGTTATTTTTTTAATTTTTCCCTTCTTTCAAAGAGCTCCTCATTTTACCTTTGCAACAGCTAGGGCTGGTAACCTTCAGGTGGGCCCCAGACTTCTCCCACAATTACAACTGATTTCCAGATGGCAAAAATTAGTTCCCCTGGAGAAAACAGCTGCTTTGGAGGGGGGGACTTTATGGCATTACATCCCTGCTGGGCTCCCTCCCCTGGCACTGCCTACAATTCTACAGGAATTCCCCAAGCTGGAGTTGGCAACTGTGACAAATACCCTGGGACATGGCTTAGGTTGAGAAAGAGTGACTGGCCCAAGATCACCCAGTGAATTTCAGAGTGGAAGTTGTTTAGCATTGAGTTGAATAAACTCATTTCTTGCCAGAGGAGGAAACAGTTGTTACGTTCTCTCTTGAAAATTGTCTTCCCTGCAAGGGTTGCCAGTCTCCAGGTGGTGGCTGGAGATCTCCCACTATTACAACTGATCTCCAGGTGACAAAGATCAGTTCATCTGGCAAAAATGGCCACCTTGGAAGGTGGAGTCTATGGCATTATACCCCACTGAAGTCCCTGCCCTACCCAAACCCCACCCTCTTCTGGCTCCACCCCCAAATCCCCAGGTATTCCCCAATCCAGAGCTGGCAAACCCACCCACACACACATGCAGAAATCTCTGGTGGATCTAAGCCAACAGACTTCAGCTGGAGCAACTCTGTGCAAAAAAAAAAGGAATGCCATGGAATTGCAAGAATTGTGGGTTTTTTCCATTTCCCAGCAAGCCAAGGCTTTCTTTTCAAGCTTTTATAACCATCATTTTGTAATTGCGTTGGAATGAGAATAGTCAATAATTTTTTTAAAAAAAAAATGAGCAGCAAATTTGGCTTGGTGCTAAGTGGAAAAAAAACGGCACTTAAGACCTACCACTAGCCCTTCCAAACAAGAGCTCATAACCAAGCATTAATCCATAAGCGTGCCAAGCCCAGGGAAAAAAACCCCAGAAAGTAATTAATTAGGGTTGGAAGTGAAGGACTGGATGCTGTCCCCTGCCTCAGCCTCCAGTAGACTACGTGGCAAGATAGATAGGCTAGATAGGCAGACCAAGCTTCTTCCTGTGTTTACTCTTCTGTCACTGTCCCTTTGAAGTAGACTGATAGATCTCAGCAGGGGTCATTTCGCAGAAAAAGAGGTGCAGGAGCTCATTAGCATAACTTATTTGCATAACTTATTTCGCTCCGGCAGGAAATGACCCCTGGACCTCAGGAAAATTGCCTATCCTTCCTTCTGTTCATCCTCTTCCACACAACACACTTCTCCTTGCACACACCAAGGGAGAAGGCATGCTGTCTCCATCTTGGCACCATGACGCAGATGGGCCTCTCACCATCTGTGTCCATCCTTAGTAAGATCCAGGTGGTCAGCCGTGTTGGTCTGAAGCAGTAGAACACATTTAGAGTCCAGTGGCACCTTTAAGACCAACAACGTTTCTGTTCAGCCCCTGTCTGTAAGTTTGAACGTTACCTTCCATTCCACTGTATTTGAAAAAGTGTGCATGCACACGAAAGCTCATACTTTGAATAAAACTTTGTTGGTCTTAAAGGTGCCCCACTGGACTCTAAATTTGTTCATCCTTAGTAAGTTACGCTAGAATACTATCCTATCTCTAAGCTTTCCTATCTAGAATGAAGCTCCTAAATAAATAGACTTTTATTAGTCTGAAAGGTGACTCTGTGACTAAGCTTGAATACCTGGTGCAAAGACACTCCTGTGTGTATAGCTTTAATGCACTCTGCGAAATTAGCTCTGGGAACTGGACTAATGATACCAGCTCTCCCAACAATTATCCCCAAAACAACAGAACAAAAGGGAAATTACAGGGAGAAGCCTGCTGAAGGAGATTTACTTCCAAGCAAATTTGTACTAGGACCTTGCCTGTGGGGTGGATTTGAATAGGCAACATGGTGCTAAGCACTGCACGGAGCTCTCATCTCAGTTCTTCTTGCAGATTAATATGGAAAAGGAACTACTGAGCAGGGCAAAAAGATTGTAATGTGGTACCACAAGAGAGGAGATCCTAGAGGAATCCCAAGCATTGTAGACTAGTTTGCAGCTCAATACACATCAGCAAAAGGGGCTGCGGTGGCTCAAGTGGTTAAGACGCTGAACTGCAGGCTGTGGAAAGTCAGTAGTTCAGCAGTTCGAGACCCGGGTTGCCACATGACGGAGTGAGCTCCCGTCTCTAGTTCCAGCTCCTGCCAACCTAGTAGTTCGAAAGCAAGAAATTGCAAGTAGATAAATAGGTACCACTTCGGTGGGAAGGTAACACCGTTCTGTGCGGCTTGGTGTTTAGTCATACCGGCCACATGACCACAGAAACGTCTTTGGACAGCGCTGGCTCTTCAGCTTTGAAACGGAGATGAGCACCACAACCCTAGAGTCGAACTCAACTGGCTTTTGAGCAAGGGAACCTTTACCTTTACCACAAGAGAGGAGATCCTAGCATTGTAGACTAGTTTGCAGTTCAATACACATCAGCAAGCCATTCGTGGCTGATGAAAAAGAAGGAAGGGTCCCAACTGATGACCAAGAGAGGCTATGCTGGGAATCATGGGACTTCATATACAAAAGCCTTGTGAGATCGGGGCTGTAGCAAGGGAGGAACCTGGATGCGACTGAATGAAAAAGATCATTGGATCCCACCCACTGACATTCCATTATCATTGGTCCAATCCAATAGCATATCTCATCCCCCTAGCAAGATGACAACCCAATTCAGAAAGGAGGACTAGAGTAAAGACCTCTGTTGACTTACCTTAGGAAGCAAATGCCGCATTGGAGAAGACCCCAGGTGCACCCAAATCACTGAAAGGTAAACAGGTCATTATTATAAAGTAGTAGGTGTAATGTAAATCCTGCAGCCTAAACTTGTCCTCCCAAAGCCCTTTGGTGCTGGTAAAAACTTGAGAATCTGGTTTCATCTGGTTTCATGTGACAAACAACAATATTTTTCTATTCTGCGTATATATAGTCATACTGCACCATTTCGTTATCTTCAGTTGTTTGATTCCTACATGGCATTCTGGTTTATGTGCCTGTGCATCTTCTAATCCTACCATGTAAAACAGCCCACCCCGCTCCCCTGTGTCCTAAATATATGACACACATGCCATCTTTTCTGGTTACATCACGCTCCTGAAAAAGTGGGCTCTCAAGTTCATGATACAACAAACGAGTTCGTCTTTAAAATGTCACAAGACTCTGGGTGGTTTTCCACAAGGAGTTAAAATGTTTTGGCTTCACATCACACAGGAGGCCTTACCTGGTGGAATTCAAGAGCCTATTTTTTTCTTCTGATGATCAAAGTGTCCAGCAGATGGCACGGAAAAATGGAGAGAGAGAGAGAAAGAAGAAACCCAGCTAGTATCACTTATGAATTAAAACACTAGATAAAAATATAGCAGTTGCCCTGACTAGAGGTGGTGATGAAGCTATTAAATTATACACGTATCCCAGTCCTCTGCCAAGGAGTTCAGGAGTACATATGTTGGTTTCCTCATATTACAGTCTCAGGACAACCTTTTAACCCTGTGTAGAAGTTACAGTGAGCAAAGGAAACCTCTGCAGGTGTTCTGTTCCTCTTAGGCAAATCAGGAGCCTGACAGCCACATATATCAGCAACATGCAGGGCCCTGCGATGTACCCGATACATACAGTCAGGGCTATTTTGGGGCAGGAACGCACAGGAACGGAGTTCCGGCTGGCTCCTGAGTTGGCCACGCCCAGCAGGAACTCATTAGCATAATAGGCCACACCCAACAGCAGAAACTCATTAGGATTAGCTACAGTAGGCGTGTGTGGCCTAACATGCAAAGGAGTCCCTGCTACAAAAAAAAGGCCCTGGGTTTTGACAACAAACAAGGTAAACAGAATAAGAAGCAAAAGGTGGGTGTGGCTGGATGACCACACTTCTGGCAACACGGGGCTGCGGCCTAATATGCTAATGAGCTGTGGTGGCAGGGTGTGGTTTAATATGTTAATAAGTTTCAGCTGTTGGGTGTGGCCTGTTATGCTAATGAGTTCCTGCTGGGCTTTTTCTACAAAAAAAGCCCTGCATACAGTCACTCTCTTGTGTGAACTGGCTATATGTGCAGATCTTCCATGTAGGAAGAGCTTCTACTCATGAAAACTTGAAGCTTGATTTTTCAGGATTCTGATTTGCATGAATGGAAGACTTACCAGCATGGAAAATCCACACAATGCCCAATTTGAGGTGCCCTGGGGGAGATCATTAACAAGTCTCTCTTGGAGGGCTTGTTCCCTGGGTCACTCAAGGAGGCCGTGATTTATCTCTTCTTGAAGAAACCATCACTGGATCTGGCCGAACTGGCTAATTACCGGCCAGTTTCCAACTTGCCCTATATGGGCAAGTGAATCGAGAGGGCTGTGGCAGTTCAGTTACAGAGATTTTTGGACGACGCTTCCATCTTAGATCTCTTCCAGTCCGGCTTCCGCCTGGGACGTGGAATGGAGACAGCACTGGTCGCCCTCATGGACGATCTTCAGCGGCATCTGGATTGAGGCGGATTGGCAGTGCTCTCGTTGTTGGACCTGTCAGCAGCGTTCAACATGGTCGACCATCAGCTACTGATCCACTGCCTCGCCGACACCAGAGTTTAGGGGCTCGCCTCACAGTGGCTTGCATCCTTTCTCCAGGACAGGGGACAAAGGGTGGCACTATGGGATCAGATGTCCTGAAGGCATCCATTGTCGTGTGGCATGCCCCAAGGGGAAGTATTCTCCCCAATGTTATTTAATATCTATATGCGCCCCTTGCCAAGATTGCCAAAGACATGGGCTTGGGTGTCGCCAGTATGTGGATGACACCCAGCTCTACCTGTTGTTGGGGGGGCCAGTCTGACGTACACCGGAAGATCTAGACCAGGCGCTGCAGGCTGTGGCTGGATGGCTTCGACTGAGTCAACTGAAATTGAATCTGATGAAGACGGAGGTCCTGTGCCTTCGATGGGGCTCCATTAGTGCCAGTGCCGGGGGTTAGGAGCTTGGGAGTGCTCTTGGATGCCTCCTTAACAATGGAGGCCCAAGTAGCAGCCCCTGCCAGATCAGCTTTTTACCATCTTCGGCTGGTTAGGCCATTGGTTCCCTTCCCCGAACATGACAACTTTGCAACAGTGATCCACGCGATGGTCACCTTGAGACTGGACTACTGTAATGTTCTCTACATGGGGCTGCCCTTGTCACAAATCCGGAAGCTTCAGTTAGTGCAGAATGTGGTGGCCAGGCTGTTAATGGGTATCCCCATGTGGGAGCACATCCAGCCGGTACTGAAAGCACTACACTGGCTGCCAATAGCATACCGGATTTGTTTCAAGGTGCTAGTTTTAACCTTTAAAGCCCTATATGGTTGGGGTCCAGCATACCTGAGGGACTGCATTTCCCCACACGTTCCCCAGAGAACATTGCGTTCAGGGGCACAAGATTGGCTGGCCCTCCCAGACCCCAGGGATGTCAGACTGGCAGCAACCAGGGCCAGTGCCTTCTCGGTGGCAGGTCCATCCTGGTGGAATGAGCTCCCGGTAGAGATCAGGGCCCTGCGGAACCTCCTACAGTTCCACAGGGCCTGCAAGACGGAGCTCTTCCACCAGGCATTCGATTAAGAGGACCATCTAAAAGTTGTACAAGATTTCCAAATGCGGGGGGGGGGGAGAGAAGGAAAGTGGAGGGCTTATAAGTTTCCTTACCTTTTTTGCTGAGACGTCGTATTGCTAGCACTATTAGAGTTCCAGATAACAACAGGCCAATAACAGATGCCGTGACTGTACCAGTGTAGAGCAGAACTTGCTTGAGAAAAGGAGCAACATTTTCTGAAATGAATACCAAACTGGTAAGTTAGAGACATCAAGTAAAGATCCAGATCAGCCGACTCACTGCTGCAAAAGCTAAACATAATGGTGACCAGTGTTCCCTCTAAGCTGAGTTAGGGTGAGCTATCTCACAGTTTTTTAGCCCTTGGCTCGCACATTTTGTCTTAGCTCAGGAAGGATGGCTCTAGAGCAAACTGATTTATGCAGCAGCCAAATAGCTTGCTCACAGCTTTAATGCCAGTTGCTCACAAAGCAGAATTTTTGCTCACAAGGCTCCACAGCTTAGGGGGAGCATTGATGGTGACTGCAGCAATGAAGGAAATGGGTAGAGATTGAGAAGAAAAACTGGTAGGATCCAACTTTTTGTTTTTATAAAGGCCTGCTTTGGGGCTTTTTTATTGTTGAACAAGGAGCTTTAAATGGAAACAGGGCTGAAACGATAAAGTCAGAAAACGCAGTGTCACTGCCTTGAAATTAATTCATGCAAGACTGAAGGATTAGGATGCTTATCCTCCCCACAAAAGAAAAGTGTTGTCAAGGCCAATATTTCAAAAGCTACATTTGAAAAGGCTGTATGTATCAAAAGTCAGATTCTAAAAGTGGTTAACAAAATTGCATTTGAGTTCTTCTTTGCAGCAGCCGCCAACAGCTGGTCTAAATCAGCGGGGAAGGAGCAAGATTGACTCCTGAGTCCTGACCTAACATTTAGCTTCATAGAACATGCAACTATCATGCAAAGTTAGGCTCATATGATGGGCGAGGAACCACTGTGACTTCTCTTTAAATATTATGTCTGTCTTCGCCCGCAACGTCCCCACCCCAAAGGGAGGGACCACAATTACCTTGGCAAACAGGCATCTCAGCAGACCAATGGCCATCAGGCAGGCACTCCATCCTGCTCGTTCCATTGAGGAGATACCCATCGGCACAGTGGAAGTGACATGTTGAACTATAGCGGAAGGTACCCCAGGTATGGGAACAGTTTATCTCCATATGCTCCTGGTCCCACAGCTGGGGACACGATATGGCTGTACGGGGGGGAAATGAGGAATCAAAAGTTCCAATTTGCCTTAAACTTTGAATTAAAGAAATGTTGTTATTTCTTAAAACAGATGGGTCAGATATAGGTAAAGGAGTTAATAAAACCTCAAGTAATAAGCTCATCCGTCTTTCTTCATGGGACAGAACTGTATAAACAGTGGCAAGTTCAGTATCCGTGGGAAATGACACACTGTTCAACAGAAACACGGTGGCTCACTGGGTCAGCAGGGTTTCACATGCTCGCCGATCCACATGGGAGCTGTTTCTCCATGGTTTATAGGCCATATGGTTGCAAAGTGTTTGTGAATACCATAGAAGCACATGGGTAGAGCCAGCTGTAGGAATTTCTCCAGCCTGGACACTATCGCCATGGAAGGGACAATGGTGGCAGTTGTGGGGGGGGGGACCCACACTACTGGCTCCTCAGCATGTTTGCAAGAGTGCGTTACTCCCCCACTAGGGCTGCCAACCTCCAGGTGCCCCCCCTGGAGACATGCTGCTCTTACAAGTGATCTCCAGATGGCCAAGTTCAGTTCCCCTGAGGAAATGACAGTACTGGCAATACTGGGCCGGGTAGATCAATGGTAGTGTAAGACAACATCATATGTTCATTTGCTTCTAGGGCTGTCAACCTCCATGTAGGGCCTGGAGGTCTCCTGGAATCACAAATGATTTCTAGACAACAGAGATCAGTTCCTCCTAGAGGAAATGGTGGCTTTGGAGGGTGGACTCTATGGCATACCCTGCTGAGGTCCCTCCCCTCCCCAAGCCTCACTCTCCTTGGGCTTCACTCTCAAAATCTGCAGGGACTTCCCAACCTGGAGCTGGCAACCCTCTTTGTTGGGCTGTGGATTCCAAAAGAGAATGATGCGCCCTGGGTATACTACTAAAAGGTGAAATGTTCCTTGTGAGATGCCTACACAACAGATGTGACACTCACACACCCCTCCCATCAAAATGCATCCCATCAGCCACCAAACCTCCTGGTTTTTCTACCTGGCTAGAAATGCAAAAACAGGGTTGGGGAAGTTTGTTGTTAACCTCTTGGCAAGCCCAAATGACCCCAGATATAGGCCAGAATACTAGCCGATGAATTGCACTTAGCTCAGCAGGCCACAGAGTATGCAGGCTTGTCCTAGGAAGACAATAATGATGTTGCCCCCTAAAACCCTTCTGACAGACAGACATCCCTGGAAATAAGTCTGCATTTGATCCTGGGGACCAAAGTCCAGGTGCAGGTTCTGCTCGGCCTCCACATACCCACCTTGGACCCAAGGCAAACCATACCTTCACAAATGGGCATATCCCCTGTCCAGTTTC